CTCCCACAGGTGGCAACGACAGCGGATAGCCTGCAACTCACCTAGAAGGGTTGGTTGATTGTAAGAGGCTTGTAAGAGCGATGAGAGGAGATGTTCGAGTGAACTGAACTGTAGATTGGGGGTACAGAGGTCCCCTATATATACTACTGTACATCTGTGGCTACGTAGTACTATACAGTACATTCCCAGGATGCACAGTCGCACAGAGAAGCAGTGCGTACACAGCGAAGCTGTGTGTGTACCACATGAGTAGTACAGCCTCAGTTATTGCAGTAACCGGCTGTGCCGTTCCATATCTTGTGACGGCTGTGTTAGGCAAGCTGTGTAAACCAGCACCTGTTCAACAACTGGTTCGTGAAGAATGCAGGCACGGAGGCCGAATTCGAAGCCCATTATAAAGCGATGACTCCGGACCAGCGCAAGGTATATCGTGCTCATCAGTGGTGCCCGGTGCCCATGTACTCACCTCAATGTCCCCCTCAGAAGGCCGCACGCATACTCGCAGCATAGCATACCGTACGTTTCCTACTCACATCTTACATTCGAGTCGCTAATACCATGGTCATATCGTCGCCAGCAACCAGCGTCGCCCTGCGCACAGCTCCGCGCCACACCCATTGCGAACGTGCACGGGCCCGACCGTGATCGCACGCACCCGGTGGCATCCCGCTGCAACCGACTGTTATCGAGTGTATTCTGTCACGCCTGAGTGTACCTGTATTATAACGCGTAGCCCTACGATTGTATCCAAATGAATACGAGTGGTTGCCGGGATCATCCAATGGTGTGATTCGCACCAAAACGACCTGCCCCAACTGAATCCGACCACACCCGAACCCGACCGACTGGCAACCGACGCTATCGACGCTATACGACGAGGTTTGTATGTCCTTGTCTGAGTTTACAGCGGAATACAGAGAAGTTCGGGGCATAGTCTAAGGTTTCGTATTCAATCGGGGGTCCCGAGTACATACAGTTCAAATCAGCTGAAATCGACTGAAATCACGCACGTTCTCACTGGGCATGACCCTTCATGACCGCGGTCATAATAACGCTGGCCAAGCAAAGTACCTGACGCATCGCATCCGAGACACACGGGCGCATAAGCGTACTCAGGAGCAGGCGAGTCCTTTCGGAAGACTGATCGGAAGGCCCATACTACAGCTGAGTTCCCAGGGCAGAACGTGCCAAAGCAAAGCAGGTTGCACTACACTAAACACAACGGATGAGTCCATGTACCGAAGGGGGGATAATTAACCGGGATGGGTATCAAGTAAATAAGATATGCTATGACCGCGACACCGTCCCTGCCGAATCGGTGCTTTGTCGCCGGGACAAGCGCTCTTCGATATCTCGACACTCAGCAAGCAAGTCAATGATGGGTCGGCGCCCACTGAGATTGCGGATGAAAGATGTCTGTGGAATATGTAGTGAGTGCCCGACGTTTCGAATACCGGAAAGGTTACAACAGGCTTACGCTTAGTAGGTCGTGGGGATCTGGTCGTGAGGAGCTTGAGCTTGAGCATAGATTCAGGAAATCGTGTAGAGATCGTGAGTATATTTCGGGCTGGCGAAGGGATGGCAGTTCTGTCCCGAACTGCCTTGGGTCGGCGATGTCGCTGAACGGGGGCTCGGTCTCCGCGAGTTCCCATATTGTTGCACCGAGCGACCATACGTCGACTTTGAGAGCATTGTATGATCCCCCTCTGCAGCTATCTTGTAAATCGTTATCCCGAGACGACGAGTAGGCGAAGCGCCTACCTCCTGATTTCAGGCGCCTGCCAGTAGGGGACACCTGCCGGATCACAACAGATAGGATCCGACTGCGTGACTTGAACGGCATTGGAGAAGTCAGCAAGCTTGACGACGCCATCCTTGTCGACGAGGAGATTGTCTGAACGAACGTCTCGATGTGCAATACAATTTGACTGCAAGTAGCAGAGTGCATCCACCACCTAGCCGGACTTTGTCAGCACTCTTCTCTACATAGCGCGAGTACAAGATCACTCACATCGCGAGCAATTTGCGCCATGATCTTCTCGCTCAGATCGATACCCTCCTCGACAAGGGCAATGACGTCCGCGATACTGCGCTCCATGAGCTCCATGCGTATCCACAACGAGTCCTCCACCAAGTCCACGTATAGCGCGTCCATGGTCAGGATGTGCGGATGCGAGAGGCCCTTCATCAGCGTCAGCTCTCGCTGGAGATCGTCGATCTTGGGTGACCCGGAAGGCATGATCGCAATATTCTTGATGGCGACAAACGAATCGGGTTTCTTCTCCGGAGATGTGGGTGAAGCTAGAACGCGTGCGGCGTAGACCGATCCGCTCTCGCCTTCAGCAATCTCCCGGAGATCTGTGTACAAATCACGCGGATCAAGTCGGTCATTGATAAAACTCTTGAGCGGAGCAACCACAGCAGAAAGCCATCCGGGATAGGCGGGTACCGGGGAATTGGGAGATGGCGAGCTCGACGATGGCGAGACGGGTGTGAGGAGGTTGCCGTCCGCTCGTCGCGTGGATAGGAAGTTGTCGTCGGTGACAATCGAAGGCCGACGTTGCAGGACGTCGACGTCAGGCTCCCGCAGGTCAGCAGTGACAGAAACCGTGAAAGCATCGCGCTCGCCGAACGACGAGGCACGGGGCGAGGGTTCAGGCGAGGGGTTGGAGTACAGGCTCCTGGGCTTGGGCCCCGATGATCGCCAGTCTGACGCCTCAGTAGTCAGTGTCTGCGGGCGCGAGTCCGAGGAGGCCGAACCAGTGCCCGTCGATAGCGACGCCGTGGTTGATGAAGAGTACGTACTCGAATGAGACTCCGAGCTGTTCGGGGAGTGCGAACGACCGTCGTCGGCTTCGCGAAATCCAGGTGCTGTTCTTGTCCTACTGTCCTCATTCGCGCGAACAGGAGAGACAACCATGTTCGGCCGTACCGCCCGCGCGACTGCGGCCGTCGCAATGGTCGCAGGCGTCACAGTCATTGTGGACAGCCCGGAATCCCTGTTCTCCTTGTCCCGTGCTAGAGCCCCCCGGATGTCTAGCTGATCTGATTTGGTGATGTGCGGGATGGATGGGAACTCGTCGAGGACAGGAGTTAGTAATGTCGAATACGAGTCGCTAGAATAGTCGGCAGACATGTCTTGTGAGAAGGATGTCGATGGGGACCGCGACATTGAGTCCCTTGATTTCATCGCATCCGTCACGTCATTCCGAAGAGCGCTACTGCTTGTCGGCGGCGGTGGCGGAAGGGCAACCATCGGCGGCGGCTCCTGCTTTGGCAGAGGTTTTTGTGGCGGGAGATGACGGACTGCAGCAGACGGCGATCTGTCTCTTGTACGGACAGAGCCTGCTCGCGCACGAGACGTAGTAGCCTCTGAGCCCAACGTTGACGAGGTTGTGTGAGACTTCTGAGCTTGAGGTTTCGGTGGGGTAAGGGTGATCGAGTCAGGAATTGACGAGAACAGGGACTCCGTCCACGAAGCAAGGTCGTCCTGGTGGAAAGAAAGACGGGGAGGGGCAGGCAGCACGGGAGACGTCGTCGAGACGTCGTGAGAACCCGAGCTTGCGCTATCCGTGGACGGACGCGGGGCACCGTTGACCCTGGCACTCTGTCCCGCTCCATCTTGAACGACAGATGGTGGGAGTCGGAAATCCTCATCGGCATGTGCAAGATGGCTTTCCTTCCTCGGAGACATGTACGCCGGAGGAGGAGAATGCTGAATGGTGGCGATTGACTCGTTCGCAATATGGAAAGAACGAGATGGCGCATTGCGTGCCATCAGTTGCTTCTCAGATGCTCCAGAGCCGGATGAGTTGTCAGAGACAAGGGATAGTGCAGGAGGGGGGACAAGAGGCGCTAATCGGGTACTCGACAAGCCAGAGTGATGTGTCGGGAGGTGGGGCGTGCTTTGCGACTGCAATTGGGGATACGTGAAGGAATGCTGGGGGACGGGACGAGATACCGGTGGCGTTCGTCTTGCCTCTTGTTCCGGGTGTGAGCTCGACGAATACTCAGAGGGACCGCGCGACGAAGAGGAGATCTTGCGCATATGCGACCTCGACCCATACGAACGTTGGCTGCTAGTCAGTGAAACCTGCGATAGCGACGCATCCGAGTGGTCTCTTCGGAGGGAGTTAGTGGGGGCGCCATAGCCAGGTGACCGCGTTGTGCCCGCCGGAGAGACGGATCGACCAGTGTTCAGAGAATAGATGGAGCGCGTACTGCGTAACCGGGATTCCGCCCTCTTCGCTTGGATCGCAGCGATCTCCTCTTCACTGAGCCCAGCTTCCGCCAACGACGCCGCCCACGACGGTGGTAAACCTGAGAAGCTGGAGAGGAGAACGTGTCAGTGACGATGTGAACCAAGCCGTAAGCACAGTGCCTTGAGGTCAATGGAGCGAAGGCCGTGCATCTTGTAGGAATGCGAGTAACGTGATGAACACCGAGCGCATGTCTTGTGCAGCAGCGCCTGATCTCGCTGTTCCTCAGTGGCGGCCGCCCACAGCCCGCGGGCACAAAATGGAACGAGTCAAACGGCATGTACGTACCCTTCGTCTACATGGAGGTTATGCTGCACGGAAAGAGATGAGCAGGTGGGTATGGGGAAGGGATGTGCTAGCGCTCACCTGGAAGTTCCATGGGAGGGATATGGAAGGATCATCGACGGGCTCTGGGGGAGGAACAGAGTCGGAGCCAGCAGAGTAGCCAGAGTCTGCTGTCTTTGGAGTCTTCGGACGTCGGGCGAAGGATGAGAACTTGAAGAGACGTGTGCGAGAGCTGGCGGACTCGGGATAGTTGGAGGTAGTTGAGTATGGGGAGACAGTGATGCGGCTAGGGGCGTAGGAGGGAGTGGGCGAAGGACTCCTGACAAGGGTAGCATACTGTGCGGACAGAGGAGTGGCGGGCTGGGAAGGAGGGAGAAAGTCGGGAGAGAGGGAGTTTCCGAGGGAGCGAAGGGAAGGATTGGGTAGGTAGTATGGGTCTTTGGGAGGGAGCGGCGGGGGCTTGGAGCTCGCGGAGGAGAACTTGAAGACCTTGAGGGACGAGAAACGAGAGTTCTGCTTGCTCGACGTCGCCATCGTTGTCGACGACGTCCCCGAGAGCGGAGACAAGGAAGAACAAGCGGCCAGTCAGGCGGAGGTCAAGACTCAAACAGAGCGGATTCACAGGGTCTAGAGCCTAGACCGCCTGTTACTTACCCGGCTTATCCCATCAACAATCCGACTCTTATCTCCACTTATCCAACCAAGTAACGTTCTTACTCCGATTACAATGGGCATGATATCATATTCGCTGTGCACTGATCTGATCGACCCACCCCGTCTCGGACTCCATGTCGACGACGGCGACCAGGCCACACGACAACCTTGACGATCCCCACGCTCACGCCAGCGATTCCATATTACTGTCATGCTCTTACTGCCCCTGCACTGCTGTCCACATGGTGTGCTTTTGGTACACCCAAAGCAGCCTCTGCCGGTACGGAGAACTCGTCGTTGGGAGCAGCGACCACTTGAGCTAGCATCCAGAGTCTTTGACTGAGGTAACAACGCTTACGCCTACCCTCTCGCTGCCTACGTGCCAGATACAGTATATATAGCTTACCACTGAGGAGATCCCTTCAGCAGGACCTTCCTCCTTCGAACGTCGATCATGATGCACCCGTATTTGCCATTTCGTAATCTTGATCCGCTGGCCAGCTCAGCGTTGATCCACAATGCGTACACATACCGCCGAGGCATCTTACACGCGCATGTTTGCATGGAGACATGCGTGGGTATCTACATGGGTAAATATTGTCTGTAGTGGGCTACGTATGTATGCGAAAATAGTCGAAGTTGCTCCCCTGTGTAATTTTCTATACACACAGCTCGAAATTGGCGGCCCCAACCTGGGTTTAGCGGAACATCCGATCTCTGAGCCTAGGCTGAGCTCGGCGTTGCCTCAACCAAACATCGGCTACTGGGCTGGCTGAGCCAGAGATGTGCTTGACCTCACGACCCCGAAAGTCGGCAGCGGTGACTCCTTCTAATGGCTCAGGCTTTCTCTCTATTTCAGCTTCCAGAGTTCTGGCTTCAGTGGATTCTACAATGCCTGAAGTTATGACATGCAATCGGTAGGGAAACCATAGACTCTCTCACGCTTGACCCCCGGTGTCATCAGTCCATCGCCCATCTCTGGGCTGAGCCACCTCGGCAATTCGAACTGACGGTCCGACATTTACGCCAAAGACGTGCAGGGGCCCTTGGTTATGAAACAGCTATAAGGCGCTATTTATACAACCCAAGCGACCCAAGATACTATCAGACTCTTCACAAACGAAGAAGAGCAGCACTGGGAGGTCGACATCGGCGTCTCACCATGTCAGTAGAGTAGGCCGGCAGTAGTGAGTCTTTATAACTTTCTCTATGTAACATGCACATGGACAAACAGACAAGCACACTTGACATCGGGGCCACGGCCTCTCCCAATAACCGCAGCCTTTTTTTTTTTCTTACTTTGCAGATATAAAGCTCGGTGACATCCTGATAGGTTGAAACAAGAATCGTAGCCCACGCGAATCCCTATAGAAGCTTGTTGCCACTACGCTGTTTGGGCACAATCTTCTCATAGGCTCGCTGCGAACTATCAAAATGTGAGGATGACCTAGTCCCTTATGACGACAGTCTGGCGGTTGCAATGAGTTCGTGCCCATGCGTAACCGGTAGCACCACAAGCCTTCTTGTGCCCGACACGGAACGCGCAGCGTGCAGAAGGCAGCAGATCTCCCTCCAGACCCAGATGCGCAAACTGTCTTCTCGCGCCGAAGCTCAGGGTCGGAAGTTGCATACGCCTTCTTAGGTGAGTTCCTTCTGCTCATTCCCACTCCATAGTTCCGCTTTACGGAATTTGTGATAGCACCCGGCCCGTACTCGGGCGCGTGGTATGGCCAACCTCAATGTCTCGTTGGCGTCGGCGATCAGCTCCGGAGGTGTCACAGCAGGCTTTCAGTGTCTATAAAGCTGACTCCACCAGGCTCGGACCCGCAGTCTCACTCTTCAAGTTTCTCTTCCCAGCTGTAACGGCCTGTCTACTTCTCACGTCATGTCGCACAACACGTTTGACATCATCATCGCCGGTGGTGCGTCTTCCCACAGTGGTATCTTCTGCTGCTTCCTCTCTCGCTGACCCTGGCTTCGATTCCAGGCGGAACCAGCGGCCTCATTATTGCCAGTAGGTTGGCCACTGCCGACCCGTCACTGAGCATCTTGGTTGTAGAAGCCGGCGCACCGACACGCGATGACCCTCAGCACATTCAGCCAGTCCGGTATCTTCATCACCTCCGTCCGGACAGCACGACCGTCAAGTTCCACGTCGGCAGGGAGAGTGCTGCGCTAGGTGGTCGGGCTCCTGTAGTGCCGTGCGGCCAATGCCTCGGCGGAGGTTCTAGCGTCAACTGTACGTCTTGTCTCGCGTCCGCCGACGGCCATCGTAGTCGCTCGCTATGTCATGAGCTGACAATGGCCGGGGGAATGAGCAGTCGCTATGTACACTCGAGCGGCAGCCTCAGACTATGATGATTGGACGACAGTGTATGGGAACCCTGGCTGGAGCTCCACCGAGCTCCTCCCGCTTCTTCGAAAGGTACGCAGACTCGCTTTGCCTCATGACCTCGTGCTGACGCTGAGACCATCCCCTTTGCTACCTAGTGCGAAACCTACGAGGTTGCGCCAGGAAAGCCCACGCACGGATATTCCGGCCCATTGAAGGTTTCCTACGGGGGAGCTTTTATGGATATTGGAAAGGAATTTCTGGAGGTGGCCGCCGGGTACGACAAGGCACGAGGCCTCACGGACGATGTTAACGGTCTGTTCGAGACCAACAAGTATGGGGTGAGCTCTGTATCGTTCCCAGCGATCCCGGGGTGCCCGCTGATTAATAGATTCTCTGTAGCGATGGCAGAAGTAAAACAACTTGCATTGCAAATTCGGGGTTTTTCACTTACATCTTTGGGGCTTAGATGGATCGACTCCAAGACCGGCGCTCGCTCAGACATCCCGCACCAATATATCTACCACCGGGACTTTCCAAATTTACACATTCTGACCGGGTACCATGTCCAACGCGTAATCGTCAAGTGAGCTACGGTTCAAGTTCGAAGTCAGCAGACCCTCTAGCTCGCTGACTCACGCAGGGACGGACAAGCGACTGGTATTGAGTATAGCCCGAATAAGCGTTATCACTCGGATGCCGGCCAAGGTGTCCTCTCGGCCATAGCACGGCGACAGGTGGTCATCTCCGCTGGGACTTTCGGGTCACCTGCGATCCTAGAGCGATCGGGCATAGGCTCGAAGAGCGTGCTTGAGAAGGTCGGAATCATGCAGATCGTTGACCTTCCTGGAGTGGGTGAGAATTACCAAGGTGAGTGGATGTGAAAGGGTCCACGGCCTAGAACAATACCTAACTTCTACACCGATAGATCACCAGGTCCTCTTTGCCCCCTACGTAATCGCGAAGGAGAAGGATACATTAGATGGAATTGCTAGCAGCAACGAGGCAGAACTTCAGAGTGTGTGCTTCGATCGCAAGAAAAGCAGCTCAGACTGACAACTTCCGTCAGAGTGGGATGCACAATGGAAGAAGCAGGGAGATGGGTTAATGGCTCACAAGTGCGTTTTACTGCCCCGTTTCCCGCGCCTAGTGTTCACATGGACGTCACGCATTAGCGGTCTCGATGCAGGTGGAAAGTTACGCCCGTCCAAGGACGACCTCGATGTCCTTGGCGAGGTCTTTCGCAAGCGGTGGCTTGAGTACTATGTCCCGGCACCCGACAAACCGGTGATGTGGTTCGGCTTGCTTGCTCTGTACGTATCCTGAGACCTGCTGAGTGCCATCAAAGGTCAAGCTGACGTCTTCATCATGCAGCTACCTGGGAGATCTCTCTAAGGTTCCTGTGGACAAAGCGTACTCTGTCGGTTGGTACCTCCAGCACCCTGCGTCCATCGGTCGCCTGCACATTACGTCTCGCGATAACGTAGAGGCCCCACTCGACTTTCATCCCGGGTACCTTGATAGGTAGGACGCTTCGCCGGATTGAAGTTCCCACCTTATCACCGACTGTCTCCCTGGCGCACAGACCGGAAGACATGGCAGTTCATAAGTGGGGCTACAAAATGTCGCGCGAGTTTGCCAGACGTATGCCTTCCTATCGTGGAGAAGTTCCTGGAGCGCATCCTGCTTTCAGCGAGACAAGCTCAGTTGCTCCCCGACTGCACGATAGTCCTGTCCCGAATGCAACCCCAAGCTTGGTATACACGGAAGAAGACGAGAAGGCCCTTGAGGACTGGATTCGGAAGACTGTTGCAACTGCATGGCATTCGGTATGTTAGAAGACCGTGTGACGGGTACTTGCGACGCTTATTCTGCTTCTAGCTGGGAACGTGTGCTATGAAAAGCCGCGAGAAGGGCGGAGTTGTGGACTCGAGGCTGAACGTTTATGACGTGGACGGTCTGAAGGTCGCTGGTGGGTTTCCGTATTTTCATGTTATCTTGTTACATCGACGTCTTGACTTACATTGTGGTAATCGTGTGTCATACGTATGCGATAGACATGTCCATCTGCCCAGGAAACGTCTCAGCAGTAAGAATATCATCTTTCTTATGTCAACCGTATTTCACGTTCCGTTCACAGAATACTTATTCGACTGCCATCCTGATTGGCGAGAAAGCCGCTGTGCTCATAGGACAAGAGTTAGGCATCCATATTGACGACGGCTTGACTCCTCTGGCACGCTTGTGAATGTTCCGAGCCACTTCAACCGATTCCATTACGTAGAGTTAGCTAGATGACACATCACGTTCACTAACAATTACATCGCTCAGCCGACAGTAAAGAAGTTTCCTCCTACACTGGTAGTCGTGTCAGTGATGACCGCGGCCCAATCGATGTCGTTTTCGCTGTTCAGCAGCATGTCGAACGGCATGACCATGTTTGGCGCGTTGCCATACCCCCTCGAGCTCGTGCCCCCGAAGTCCATGGACGATACGGTCAAGAACATGCCGACCTCAAGGTTCCGCGAGTCTCCCGACATGCATGTGGCGCTTTGGACGTTGACAAGTCCAGGGAACGAGGACACGTCCGCGCTCAGGAACGGTGTCGAAGTTGGACTTGACGTCTCAGTTAACGCCTGCGGGTCGAATGGTCTGAAGCCGTTAGAGTGGGATACTGGACTACCAGCGTTAGATAAGCCTCCAGACGCATACGACGCAGAAGGCTGTTCCGTTGCAGAAGCGTCCAACATCGCGGCGTTCCCACAGGGGGCGGCTTCAGCGGCCGTATCACATGCCGGTGGTGCGCCGCGTTCCTGCCGCCAGTACTTCTCGTCCCATGCCCCCGCCTTACGGAGCGCCATGAGGATGGTGAGCGCGCGCGACGCCATGTCGCCCTCGCCGTCCGTCGCACCTTTGTGAGCCTCCTTGATGTCCGCGAGCATGCGCATCGCGCGGTACATAAGGTCGAGGCACTCCTCTGCCTTCGGATGCGGGGGCTCTTGGGAGAGCGCCCCGACAAGCGCCACGGCACCGTCGAAGACAAAGTAGGAGTAATGGAAGCGGAGGAACGGGATTTGCGGCTCTGTCCCCCATTGCGCAGCCTCCTCGCGAGCATCGCAGAGCACACGCACAAGTTCTATAGCCGATTCGATGCATCGTTCGCGACTGGGGTTCAGCACGACGCTGCTCAGTCCGGGGACGGGCCGCGGGGGTGGGAGGATCGGAGGCGCTTGCATGAGGTATGGACGGTGCAAGTTCATCAAGCCACCGAGATAGAAAGCTGCAGTCATGTGTCGTTGGAAGGCTATGCTGCGTTCGTAGACGGTCGGATCTTTGGACATGTAATGTGACTGCCGCCAATCGAGAGAGGGGTGGAGTTTCGAATGCCACAGCTTGTATTTCTGATCCATCTCGAGAACAGTTGCATAAGAGGCGGGGGCTAGTCCGGCACACTAACAGGGTGTCAATTGATTTGCAGCGGCAATGTCAGTCGTACATAACATACCTTGTTAATGACCTCCTCAGCGACTTGTATGAGTGAGATGAACGACTGCTGGTAGTGGACGTAGGGGTTGGGTGTGCCGTCGGAGTGCGAAGCACCGGGGACAAGCTTCACATCGAACGTATGTGCACTTGCCATAGTGGGCCTGCCTAGAATCAGGGAATATAGCCTGGACAGCTCTTGAGCCAAAAGCGAGTATGCGAGTCGAGGAATATGAAAGCTAACCTGTCAGATATGATCAAGTACCACCATGCAAGCACACGCAACTCGCACTCCTCTGCATCCATCTTCTCCCATTTGTGCCAAGTCGGATCCCGATGAAGTCCAACGGCCTGTGCTTGCCTGATTGCAGTTCCCACCAGCTTCCACGCATCGCTGATCCTCCCACGGTCAGAGAGCCACGACGCTAGCAGAGATACAGCGATGCAGCTCAGGGAGACTCCATGCACCACGCACTGTGTAGGCGCGAAGGAGTACTCCGGAGAAAAGAGCATGATGTCTTCGACCAACCGACGCGCTTCTAGACTCTTCGTGAAAAATTTCTTAGAGTTCACACCGGAGGCCTCGTGAGGAGCGAGGGCTAGGACGGAAAAGAGAAGCACAAGCCAATGAGGATTGAGCTCCCGCGCACAGCGCAAGCAGCTTCCCGCTGCCTGACAGGCTCCAGGACAATGCGTGTCAAGATGGTGCCACATTTGCTGGCACGCGGTCTTGAACCAGCGCTCGGGAATTCCGAACTCCCAGTTGCGCTCCTCAAGATATCGCTCGACTAGGAAATCCACAGTTTCTCGGGGTGGAAGGCTGGATACAAGGTTCGATATCGGTGCTGCGAGCGTGTTGTAGTTTGCAAGGGGATTGCTCAATGTTGTAGGACCCGAGCGCGCATAAGGAAACCTGTAGTTCTCAACATCTCCTAGCTGTATCGCCAGTAAGACAGTAGACTTCGCAGGTGAATAGGAGATCAAACCTTATGGATCGCACAAAGGATGCTGCCACCACCAACGTACTCGTTCGGAGGTGCGATGGTAAGTTGGGCCATCTTCGCAGCAGCAAGTTGGACTTCGAAGTCGACTCGAGAGAATGCAGGCTTTGCGGCCGACGACAGCGCGGGGTGACCATCACTGGAGTCAGTCTCGGGAGTAGGGGTGCTGTCCTCAAAAGGCGCCTCATCTCTGGAGCGAGTAGAGGGGTCTACTGGGCCGTTGCTTTGTCTACCTATCTCGATGATTCCCCCATGGGCCGATTGGAGACCCTGCTTTAAAATCGCTTCTTCGAGCATGGCAATACGAGCTGTTAGCGCGGCTATCGTGCTCTGGTGCTGAGCAGTAACCGGCGCATCCTCAGGCGGGCGCTGGGGTGTTGGACGAGCGACGATTGGCTCCCATCTGCAAAGTTGTGGAATACCACGAGAGACGCATGAGGTGCATGGTATTTGGCGGTCGCATTTCTGTGAAACGCAGAGTGAGCACCTACTATACAGCACATTACTGGTAGGAAAACAGTAGGACGGGTAGAGAAAGGGACAACGATTTCGTCCCAGCGGACTGGTGGCATCAAATAATCCGGAGTAGGATATAGGAGATAGCACTAACCTGTCTTCGTCGAGTACATTCGACGCAGTTCAACCGCTGCCGCCTCCGAGTCTGCTTGACTTTACCCGTACTGGAACTGTTGGAAGCCTCCGTAGCATTAGCCTGGACTTCTGGTTGGGCCATGGTGGAGAGTGGGAAGAGGTGTGCTATTGAGCGGTGAACCGCTGTCGGACATGATGAGGCATCAGCGTCAGGGGGATTACTTGGGAGGAGCTGGACTGGGCGCAATGGCGGAACCACTCTGCGGGGATCGGCGCTCGGTGTGTAAGCGCCAGGCCCTCTTAAGTGCTATCCCCGCCCGTAGCCGCCCAAACGGCGCCCGCACCTCGGCCAGTCGTCTGCGCTTTGAGTCAGCTCAGTATCTTCAGACCATCTCAACGGTGCATCTCAACAAATATCAAGGCGGTGACCTTCTATTCAATTGGCGTTTTATGTTCAAAGTCTGACATCCACGTAGTCCACGCGCAGGTACAATGCCGCACAGTCATCATTCGCACTCAGGCCAGTTCTGCAGGCATGCTGCCGGTACTCTCGAGCAAGTCGTGTTGCAAGCCATCCAACAAGGCTTTGAGACCTTTGGGTTGACAGAGCACGTCCCTCGGTACCGCACGGCCGACCTCTACCCTGAGGAGGTCTGTAGTCTGCCATACTCATGTTGTCCTATGACTTCCGTAAAGCTGAATTGTCGTGCCATGATAGGCTAGCATGCCTTTAGAGTCTTTGATCTCGGCATTCGACGCGTTTCTCGATGAAGCGCATAGGCTGAAAGCCAAATACGCGGATAGAATCAACCTGCTCGTTGGGCTGGAGACCGAGTACATCACCTCCTCTGACCTCGACAAGCTCTCGGAGCTCCTGGAGACCGCTGGACCTCGGATCGAGTATCTCGTCGGCTCCGTTCACCACGTTCACGCTATCCCCATCGACTTCGATCATGACACCTTCATGAAGTCTCTCTCGAGTTTTTATTCCCCACTCCGCACAGAAAGAGAACGGATGGAAGCGTTCCTCTGCTCATACTTCGACTCCCAGTATGAGCTGATGCGCCACTTTCGCCCCGAAATCATCGGCCACTTCGATCTGTGCCGACTATACAACCCCACGTTACAGTTCAGCGACTATCCGGCCACGCAGGAGAAGATTCTCAGGAACATCCGTCTCGCGGTCTCTTACGGGGCGCTCTTCGAACTGAACGCCGCTGCATTCCGCAAAGGGTGGGACTCCGCCTACCCGGGGGATGACATGGTCAAAGTAAGTATCGGGTGCCTCCGACCAGCGCTGTAGCCGCAGCGAAATATTCTGACTCCGGCTCAGATTATCTTGCAAGAGGGCGGTCGCTTTGCTCTGTCGGATGATAGCCACGGGCCACACGCGGTCGGCTTGAACTATAGTCGTCTCCTAGAATATGGAAGGAGAGTTGGTATTACTGAAATTTGGGTCCTTCGATCGTCTCAGACTCCAAATGCGGCTGGGAGGAGGGTGAATGCGCACCTGCTGGACGGCCAATGGTGGGAACATCGATTCTGGAAGGGCAAGTGACCGAGGGATGACCGTGTATGCTAGGTGAGATGGGATGTTTATGACGCACCCAAAACTAACTCTTCACTGCTGGTACAGGATGAGTATGCGTTAGATGACCTGATGCACAAGAAAGTCCAAGTTCCGTCAATCAAGCCACACTCTACCAGCGGTGAGTGCTTATCCTCGCAAGGTCAGAAACTCCCTTCAACACCGATATGATGAAATGCTCGGTACTTACTCCACCGTGTAACTATCAGTAAAGCCGGGATTGGTGATTGTTAAGAGAATTATTGACGATACATATACCACGTCCGTCGTTGCCGTGCTCAGTCGTGCAAACATCCGGACGTCAAATAGCTCAAATGCTCGTCACGGCTCCCCTATTATGAATCTGCATCGCAAGCGCAGTCTCACACCGCCCCCATGAACATCACAGCTTCCCCGATTTGAGGAACGCCTCGGAAAAAGGGTAGGTCGTGTAGCCCTGCTCTGCCTCGATCGTATATAGGGTATCTTCCTCAACTGCATTTAGAGGGACGTCTTCCCGAAGTCGGAAAGGCAAATCAGGCTAACATCACGCAGTTCGTCAATCGCACACAATCGTCGACACCGTGAAAGCTCACATTGGCAAGGAATGCGCGACCGTATCCGATCAACTGCCCCGTCTCTTGCGCAACCCTCAGCCCTGACTCACGATCGTACCCTCCAGTTGTGATGACAGGTCTAGGTCTCCACAGCTTGTATATGAAGTCATTTTGCTATAAAGTGTCACTTCGTAGTCTTTTCCGGCCATACGTCTTCGGGACTTACCGATTTGTCTTCAGGTCCCACGTTGAACGGTGCGTCCGGACTAACGACATGAAGGTATGCAAGGTTCGGATACTTTTGCTTGAACTGATCTACGAGGTATGTAAAGGTCGGGACAGGGTCGTCCATCCGCAGCTCTACGAACCGTCAGCGGGTTATGATCATCTAACCGGTCAGTATTTGGCGAGCACAAACCTCCTGTGCGGCCCTTTCCCCAGGGACTCAAACGAATTGCTGTTTTGCTCTGTCCGATCTTCGCACTGATTGCATCAATGACCTCCAAGGCAAACCTGGCTCGGTTTGGAATGGAGCCACCGTACTCATCGGTACGGAAGTTGGTGGTGTCTTTAAGAAATTGGTCGACCAGATAGCCGTTTGCCCCATGCACCTCGACGCCATCGAATCGCGCACGGCTCACAGCGTTGTCTGCAGCTTGCGCAAACCATTCAACGTACTCTTTGATCTCTGCATTTTTGGTCGGCGTCGATAATAGGTACAGCGCGGGACCTCTGACACTCACCCTCTTTCGTGAGTTCACGCGGAACAATATCTGGGGTGTTTGGGAGAGGAATCGGTGATGGTGCAACGTAAGGTATATCGGTTTCGGCCTGAAATCCAATACTTGCGGGACGAGCCATCCGCCCCAGAGCCCATATCTGAAGGTAGATGTAAGACCCCTGAGCATGCACCGCGTCTACGACCTGGAAGCTCGATCGTCAGCTTCATGGACTTGTGTGATGATGCTAAGGCTATACCCCTTTCCAAGCAGCGATTTGCTCGTCGGTGTAGATACCGGGAGCATGTGCCATGCCCCCGGCATTCCTGGATATGTACGTAGCTTCGGTTATAAGCAGTGTACCAGGGACGCTTGCACGCTGCCTGTAGTATTCGACGGCGAGAGGGCTGAGGATGGCTTCCCGTGTTGCCCGGAGTCGTGTCAAAGGAGCGAGTACCACTCTGTGGCTGAGCTCCACATCGCCGATCCTGATGGGTTGGAAAAGTGCAGGAGTGGATGGGGACATGGTCCAATGGACGGAGACCCGTTTCTACTTCGTGAATGTCCAGGAAGGAATCAGCATTGGCTCGCAACTTTATACATTCCTCCCATGTCGCTGAGTAAGTCACTTGCGCAATCATCCTTCCCAGGGAACGTCACCATTCTATTCACATCATAGGATCGACATGCAAAGCACGGACTGTTCTCAACCGGATTCCAGGCGAGATAAGAGCATCTTGGATAAGCCAAGCTCTGTGGTGCTCAGTAAGATCGAGTTGGTCAGGGAAGATGCGATCGTGCGTTGCCCTTTTACGACCAAGGTACGCAGTCAGCAGCCTCGGCGTTCGATAAATCAAATAATCGTAGCGTCCCACTCAAACAATGTCAAGGCCCCAACCGTTGAACCACTGCAAACCAAGAGACGTATCTCTTTGTCGGTCCGTCATGCGTGCAGTCTTCTCATCCACGAGGATTTGATAGCAATCAAGCGCTCGTATGGCGTCATCCTCGCAAGTTTGTGCATGTCTCCGGTATACAACCTGAGCAGCTGCCAGTGGTATGTTGGATGTTGGATACATACTGCCGTTCAAGCTCTGAATGGAGTGCTTCCAGAGTTATCCCATGCCAAGTGATAGTCACCCGTTCCACTGCAGACAAGCGGGATCCACGTTCCAGAAGACTGAGAGCGAAGCTTCCTTGGAAGCCCATCGAGATAAACTCACCTATGTGTCGAGAGCCAACCCAGTCTTGGCAAGCTATCCCGAGGTCAATGACAAGCGCCTAGCGATGAGGGACGTACCTGACGGACCCCAAGCGCAGCATGGAATGGACTGGTCGATTCCGGACGCAGTGCGACGACCAAGAGTCGCGCCATGTTTGCGCGGTGTTCCTCCGTTTGACAAGCTTCGAAAAGTTGACCTCTAAGTTCACACAGGTTTCCCGCCGAACGCCTGCGACGACGTCTTTCGATGTCTTCCTCGTCCGTGGGTCGCAAGCGTTTGTGATAATATCCAATAAAATAAGGTGACGCATCATACAGAACACGTCCGTCGGAACATCGACGGGGATGTCCTACACATGATGATCGGAAGCAACGATGGGACGTGACGGAATGCTCAACACAAGCCGCCCACCGCGCGCTTTTGAAGGGGAGCGGGTATAGCCAGGGTCATTGCGCTTTCAGTTCGGCAAAGTTCGGCCGTGGCCCCTTGAATGTTTTATACCCCACGAACCACCAGTACGCCATGGCGATAATTTGGAAGGGCCTGATGAAAACGGAAACGAAGGATGCATGAGAATTCGCGCCTGCGAGCGGACAGCACGGGACATACACGTAAATGACCACAGCCCAGTTCATGTCGACCGCAGAAGCTGAGGCGTGACACGAATGATCAGGGAAAAGAACGTCATCTGTCAAAACGCTACGACTCACGGTTCGGTCCTTCCGGGCTGTAACATACACCCCGTCAGCGTCCAGCGCAAACCAACGAGACACAGCACACATCACTCACAAGCTAACCAGCGGACAAATGAAGAAGTTCCACGCGACCGCAGTCCATCTAATGATCTTCGAGTACCTGCCCAGGTTGTACGGCCCGTTGCGATAGTCCGGATTGTCCTCATACAAGCACCGCCCCAACACCGGCAAGATGTACCCGATCTGCCCCGCGAGCGTCGAGCCCGAGAAGAACGCCTCGAACGCGGTGTCGGACCCAATCGAGATGGCGCCAAACGCCGCCGACAGCACGAACACGACGAGCGACGCGTTGTTCGGCGTCTGCGTGCGCGGGTCGACGCGCGCGAGCCAGTCGGAGAACGGCAGCGCGCGGTCGCGCGCGTACGCGAAGAAGATGCGCGACGCGGCGACGAACTGGGCGACGACGGAGCAGTCAGCTTGGGGTCGGAGAGCACGATACGAGGGGGGAGAGGGGCGTACGAAGGCGATGCCGCAGGCCATTTGGCAGAAGGCGTTGATGGCCATGAACGCTATCCCGGCCTTGGTGCCGAGGACCTGCGCGAAGAGCACCCCGAGCGGCTGGCCGAGCTCGTCTGCCATCAGGGTGTCTATGTCTACCGCACAAAGTGCGAGCGAGATCAGGTAGATGAAGCCAACTGCAGCGGGGAAACGGGGCGTAAGGGCTAAAATGATCCCAGCTCGGCTTCTGAGATGTACGTACGGAAGACGCCCGACCAAGTCGCCCACACCATGGAGCGAGGGACAGTGACCGCGGCGTTGTGAGTCTCCTCAGCGACGTGAGCTGCGACATCTGCAAGGCATGGCGTGCCATTAGGCTTGTATCACCCAGCCAAAGCGGGGATAAGCGAACCGTAACCACTCAATGTCCAGGTAGCGGACAAGAACGTCATACAACTAATCCACAGGTATTCTCAGTCCGACAGCCAGAAGAAAGAGAATGAAGGCATATACGCACAAAGACCATCCCGCAGGCCAGTCAAGTTGGTTGTATGCCTGTAACCCGCGGGAGTGAATATACCGCGCATCGCGGTGATGCCCAAAGACGTGCCTGCGTGAATATCGCCTTCCCTGAGTTCAGGGTCTCAGCCTTCACAGGTAACAAGATGGTCAAGACGACTTTCCCAATGCGGTTGTAAGCATGAGCGAATCTGACGATACTCTCGGACTCACTGAGGATGATGATTCCAAGCGCGTTTGACCAGATGTTGAACCAGGACACGTATTTCGTAGGTAGGCAGATGACAAGGTAGGAGATACTGGGTTGTAAGTTTGATTGAGCGTTGAGTGAAGCAGAGTGGCAGTCTCCGAACTCACAACATCATGCCAAAGTACACGAGATAGACGTGCCACGCCTCAGCCACGTAGTCGGGCACACCCAGTTGCGCACAGGCAACTAGCAGCTGAGCAGCCTGTGCCCAAGGTTTAGAATGATTCAGAATCATGGCATGCGAAGGCGGAAGACCTACAGAGTATGTGATGGAAACGCAGGCTAGCGGGGTCGAGATGATCATAGACCAGGCAACGACGTAGCAGGATAGCAGCTTGTACTTGGGAGGCGTGGTCATGTACGCCCAGTAGTACAATCCTCCAGAAGTCGGGTATGCGCTTGACAACTCTGCCAAAGAGTAGGCAAGGAACTGGAGCACAAGTTGGGGTTCCAAGAGGTGGTACGGATAAGTTGAGGAGCGTACCTGGCCCATAACGGCTCCTACAAGCCAGCCCCACGTCATTCCGATGAGACCCATGTAACCCATCGTGTACCTACAACAATGAGAGCGCATTCGCGAGAGATAGGAAAATGTGAAGCGCACCAGATGGTCCCCGCGACGCCAGGCAATATGGCCAGCTCGGACGAGACGAGCGAGAACAAGCCGAGGAATGTGAAGTCGCGCTTGAACTCCTGCTTGTACCCCAGCAGCTCCAAGTAGGAGTCGTCATCTACTGCTTCGACGACGTCTACCACCGTAGACCGCTGGACCCCGGGAGTGTCGGACTTATCGTCCGCCACGACCTTCTCGTGCAGCTCTGTCGAAGACATGGCAGTACTTGGCAGTGAAAGACAGAAGTGCGTTCGAGCCCTTATCGGACGGCCCAGCGAGAGCCACTAGTAGGTTACGGCAGTTGGCGTTGTATGATAAGAGGGAACCGCGCGGCGCCGGGTGAGAGCAGAGCATGCAAAGTTTTTGACGGTACTTATCCGACCCATCAACAAACTGCCAGACTGCATGGCGTCATCAGGAGACGGTATCGAGCCGCGCGTTTGAATGCCATGAGCATAGCCAACGATTGCCGGTTGCGGGGTGTGTAGGAGACAACATTGCAAAGATGTTACAAGAGGAAGACAAGTGAAGACCATCGAGCAAGCGCATGTTACGGTGAGCCTCGGGGCACATCTACGTCAACTTGGCGCTTCCCATCCCTAGTCACACGACTGGTGACTCCCGAATCGGGTGGGTGGTTACGATAAGCGATATGCAGCCCCAAGCAGTTCAAACTTCAGAGCGAGATGGCCGGCTGGCAAAGGGTCGGCGTTGAATATCTCCAAGCCAATCCTTCCGGTGTCCGATTTGTTCGAGGCCAATGCCAAGAGCCTCCGGCTCCGAGAAGCTCGGACTCAGCTCGGGGCAGAGGGCGTGTACCACAGCGATGACTCAGTCCTCGAGTCAACATTGCCTTGACGGTGTACCTAACCTACGATCGACATCGGACATGGCCCTGAAGTGGGGTTAAGCGCTGCGGCGCAGTCACCAATCTACTAAGGCAAGGCTTCTTGATGTAAGTGCAAGTAATGATCTACCAGTACTGTTCGAATTATATGTAGTTGATATTGCACCGTACTGCGGACTGTGGTTCCAGTCGAGTCAGGGACAGACGCAGTTCGCCTCCGCACGAGGCACTGCGGATGCAAGTGTCGAAGTTCGCGGTAGCGAGCTGGTTCAGCGATCGTTTCAGACCGCAGTATAAAGAGAGAGGAGATGGTCTGCACCAACCAACGAGTCACCTAGCCCCACTACTACGCATTGCAGACGTAGACCACTACCTCTGCACATCACATCTAAAGGCCCTATCATCACAGCCATAAGCACCCAGCTGCTCCCATCTTACGCATCCCATACCATCACAATGCCATCGAAACACGCACCGTCGTTCCCTGCGACGCCCTCGTTGGTCTCATTGAACACCACTGCGAGCACGTCCTCGATCGCGCCGCTCAAGCCCATACCATCATCATCATCACAACCCGCACAGAAGGACTACTCCAAGTCCTTCGGACTGTTGCAGTCGCAATACGGTTGGGGTCCGGCCACATACGCCCCCACCCCCATTCTGTCGAATAACAAGGAGCCGAAGAAGAAGCGGACTGGTCGCGACACGCGGTCGACGGGCGTCCCGGAGGAGAAGATGGGCGAGCGGCAGTCGGGAGGGAAGGACTACGAGAGCGTCTTCGGGTCGCTGTCATCGCGTTATGGCTTCGGAGGGAGCTGGCCAATGCCGACAAAGAAGTCGAAAGACTTCAGGAGTTAAAGGGTCTCAGTGGTTACATGAAATCGGGCTTCTTTTCAGACTTGGAATTCGCATATTGTAAAGCCTTCGCGTACTGTATCGGTATACGTAGATCCGTCGTTCTAATCCCTCGCAAGACACTACTCAGAGCTGTCCGGTGCGATGTGGCATCTGAGAATATACATGAAGGAATGCGCAGCTGATGTGCATTGCAGAAAATCAGCTAGGATTATAAGACTCATCTGTGCGTTATGAACCAGGTATCGCCGCGTCTCCATACGCCGACGAGGAACATGTCGCGCATCGGAACGGAAGGAGAGGTACTCCAAGCGCTTGTGCCCCTCGATGAACGGGATCTATGATGCAGGGGGATCTTAGATTTCAACAGACGCCCGATGTCCCAAATTTCTAAGAGACGGTTTCCAGCCATCCTCGAGCAGCCTCGGGAGCTCGTCCTCTCGACTGTCTGCCTCCTTCACCCCGCTGCACCTGTGGGCCGCAGTCGTCTCACCAAGCGAGAGGGATACAAACCTCAACAAAAGAGCTTGCGACATGGCTTCGTCTCTCGCCCAGCAGCTCGCCAAGGGGGCGTCCCTCAACGCCAACCTCCTTAACGAAAAGTCTCGCAAGCAGGCCGCCTCCGAGTCCTACCTCTTCTCCGCCAAGGAGGCTAGGCAGCACGATATTGACTCTTTGCACGCCCTTGGTGTCAATGGCTTTCTGCAGCTCAAGTCCCTGCAGCCCGACATCGCGCGTTTCGAGCAGACCTTGTTCTCGGACACAGCCAAGTCACTAGACAGGACTCTCCTGCCGAAGGAGATGAATGCTCAGCTTGACGCTACCATCTCCGCCTTTCTGCCTTTGCTGGGGCCCTTCCTCTTGGATGCGCCGTCAGGGAAGGTATTGGAATGGCTGGTCCGCAGATTTAGGTGTGTTCCGTTGCATTTCTTTCGTCTTGGCGGAGTTACTTTATTTTTCGCAACAAGCTGCGTTCCCTAATCTCGTAATCTACTTTCAATCCTCCATACTTCTATCGTGAACTATCCTAGATAGTCTGACACTGACGTGATACTCATCTACCAGGATTCACGAGTTCAATATCCCCTCCATCGTCTCTCTCTTCCTGCCCTATCATGAGACCCCACATTTCGTCAAGATGGTCTCCATTCTCCACATCTCGTGAGTCTTCTCAGCATGATATCTCTCCGAATGCATGGTATCTGAGACCCTGCATCTAGCGACACCTCTTCCCTCCGTTTCCTCCAAGCATACAAGGCCACCGCCAAGCCCCTACACCGACCGCTTCTCATTAACGACATGATCACGAAGCCAGAAGTAGCGCGATTTGTCTCCAGCGTTTTTCCGACTATACTCAAGGAACACGGCGCCGGCGTGCACCGTGCCCTCATCGCGTTCCACACCGGCGTGTTGCTCGAGTACGTCGCGAAATCGAAAACACTTGATGAAAACGCGATGGCGCTCCTCCTACCTGCCGCTATGGAGCCTGTGGAGAGCGCGAGCTCCGCTCAGAGCGAGGTCAAACATGCTCTGTTGCAAGAGTCCATCGTGAGTTTGCACCACCTCGGCGCGCCTCCGTCCCCTGCTCACGACCTGCAGCTGGGAAGCTACCTGATCCTCGCCGCGATCTCGCAGAAGGCGCGCCTCACCTCCAAGGCGACCAAGACGATCCTTGCTGCCGTCGTCGGCTGCGCGGAACGCGTCTCGCCGAAGCAGCTCACCCGTACTCTCGTTTCGATATGTGCACCCCAGGACCAGCTTGAGAAGCTGTCAGGAAGGGTGGTGAAGACCATTGTCGCCATTCCGTGAGTCTTTCCGAACGCTATGATTTCCTGCTCGCTCTGACAAGGTTCCTATCAGTGGGATTAGCGCAGAAATCGTCGGGGCGATGGCGTGGGCTGGTGCCGAGAAGTTCATCAGTCCGTTCATCGAGAGCGTCTTATCACGGTATGCTACGTTTCGCTTCACTTTGCGACGAACCTAGTGTTTATCAATGAATAGCGTCGACGATGCGTCGGCATCAGAAGTGGCGGAGGCCGTTTTGACTTCGTCTAGTCTGCTTCCATCGGTCGCGGGTTCTGCAGCAGCCTCCCTCCTGCGCCGTCTTGTCGGTGAAGAGTCAGCGGACACTACTCCCACCTGGAGACAGTTACTGTCACAACTTCACCAGCGCCACCCGAAATCTATCCAAGCCGCATCGCGTGCCCTAGTTGAAGAGGACGAAGAGTGTCGTGATGCTATCGAGCAAATTGTCCTGTCGTTGGCCGTGGTATGTAGGAGATCCCCTGTCATAGTAAACATCTGCCTCTGACCAGTCTCCACAGTCCGTCACAGGTACCGCCACGGCTGACGCAGAGACGGCTTCTCTGTTCGTCGGGTCGTCGGACGCGGACGTGAACGTCCGCGCCAAGGCCGTGCGCGATCTCGTCTTGCGACTCGCGGAAGATAGCATTCCCGAGATGGAAGTGGTACGCGGTCTGTCATACTCCAGGACATCCTGCTAACATACAATCACAACTCAGCAGTCTGTCGCATCGGCCCTGCTGCTTCGCGTCCACGACACCTCCGCGTCTGTCCTACAAGCGCTCTACACAACCTCGCCCGAGAACACAGCGAACGCCCTCCTAGCTGCGTCGCCGGGAACAGGGTCGGTGTACCTCGATGCGCTCAAGCAGGCCCTCAACGGCATGTCCGTGAAGCCATCGCGAGACGTCACCCGGGCGCACCTCACGTTCCTCCTCACACACTTCCTCCCCGCCGCTTCGCGCGCCTCTGCAGGCGCAGGAGAGGAGCAGGAAGAGGGGGAGTCAGAAGAGAGTCGCGAGCGCTCTCGTCACGTATTCATGGACATCCTTCTGCCATTCTTGCTGTACTCGAAGCCGCGCCTTAAAACGGCACAAGCGGTCTGGGGGATACTAGAAGCAGCCGAAGAGAACGCATCGAAGGGGTTCGCGTTCGAGTTGCTCGGCGGGTGTGTGGAGGCTGTGAGGTGGGAGCAGGCGCGGCCTGGTGCGGACAAGGAGGGCTCTGATCCGCAGTTGCTGACGAAGATTAACTTGGCTGTTGCGGCGAAGATAGCAGGTCAGCACGTCCCGGATTGTGTGAAGTGGCGCGGCTCTCTCTGACTTGCGGATAGACAACATACTTGCGTCGAACTACTTTCACGCACACCTCGACCTCCTTCTCACCAAGCTTCGCGATGAGAACTCTCACGCGCGTGCCTTGAGCTACCTTGTCACCCGCGCTCTCCTCAGTCGCCTGAGCGACGAGCAACGGATCGATGCTGGTCACCGCGTGCTGGACGCTATGCAGCTGGACGCGCTGGAGGGCATGGGCGACTTCATGCACGGTATCGTCGATGTTGGACAATTCCTCGATGACGCGAGCGTCAGCTCCGCCGTCGTTCTCAAGCCCAGCAGCCAGAACACCCTCCACCGCCTCCAAGTCTCCGTCCTGTCCGTCCTCCCCAACTTTCCACGTCCCCAAGGTGTTACCCTCGAATGGCTTGCCGCGCATCCATCCCAATCGTCCGCGGCCGTCACTGACGACGCCCGTGCCGCGCGCTATGTCCAGCTGTTTCGCGCTGTCTACCGTCTCAGCAACTCGTCTGCGTCACTCCCGCTGCTCTCCACGCATCTCCTCCGCACGCTCTTCATCAACCTGGGCGACGACGCGCTCGCATTCCTCGCCGGGGTCTGGCTTACCGCAACAGAGCACGCGAACGACGACAAGCCCGAGGCGGAAGCGCACATTCAGTACGCTGCGCTACGGCACGCGGGCGCGTTCCTCGAGGCGCACGTTGCGACGGGCCGCACGGTCGACTTTCAGACGGTCCTGCCCGCGATGCTCGTCGCGTTGCAGAGCCGCGACGCGAGCGTGCGCGAGGCTGCGGTGAGGTGTATCGCTGTGGTTATTAAGTTGACCTTCTCGAGCGAGGCGGAGAGCGTGTACGCGTTTGATGCGGTATATGGAGCTGATTCTGGTAAGCTGCAGTTCGGTTATTGCGTTTTCAAGCGGCTCATCTGGGGCACGTAGCTGCGCTGCAGTATCTGGACTGGACGGACTTCCAGAGGTACATGAAGGCAATCGCGGACAATAGAGATAATCTCGTGCACGACCCCGAGTATCTGCAGGCGTTCCATCGTGAGCATCTCGATGGGATCAAAGGCGAATCGAAGAGGACCGCGGCGTAAGCCCCTTTCAATCTGTCTGGTCCAACTTTAGCTAACGGTCAATTGCATCATGTAGATACAAGCAACGTGTCTTGTGCTACCTTCTCTCCCACATCAATTGCTGTCCCCTGCTGAGTGCCAAAATTACACTGCTCAGAAGCGTCGACCTCGTGTCTAACGAGGCTAAGGCCCAAGTGCTCGTCCCGACAATCGAATTAGTATTCGCCGAACAAGACCTACAAGATTCCACTAATCGCGAGCAGCTCCAAGATCTCGCGACGTTCGCTGCATCAACCTTTGATGCTTCATCTGTCGGTGATCTGAATAATACGGAGAAGCCCACTTGGGCGTTGTATGAGAGGATATTAACGCGCACTTTGAGGAATGGTAACGGTATTTCATTCGTAACTGAGATACGTCGCTTACAACATTCTCCTCCAGGAGTCTGGGAGCGCGCCAGAGCAGCCTTGCTACATCGTCTCCAGCGTGGTCTGTTTGCGAAGCTGAATGTCGACCGCAAGACCCAGCTTTGCCGCACACTGATTCAAGTTACTGCGGAAGACGATTCCCTGGTATGCTTCAGGTTTCTCCAAAGTTTGCACGAGAACTCACCCTTTTGCTCGCAGGCTTCTGTATGCAAGAATGTGCTCGCCGACCTCCTAGACGACGTGACTCTTGTCACTCGCCTGCTTGTATTGCTCCAGCCACAGTACAACGTCGATTCCACAGTAGAACCCGTAAGCAAGCGTCCTAGGGTCGAGAAGTGAGTCGTTATGGCCCGCCTATCAGATGAGATTGAGACTAATGCGAGCATAGGACGGTTTCTGCCGGATACCATGAGGAGTTGTCTGCACTTGCAGTCCTGGTAGAGGTTATTGGCTCCTCAAAGATCACAGGTTCCTTTGAGCTTGTGTCATCCTTGCTGGACACATTGAACAAGGTCGCGAACAACTCGTCGCCTGATGCTGCAGATAGACGCTTTGTGGAGCAGCTCCTCATGGCCGCCATCGAGCATGTCGTGCGGACTTTCCCAGTAAGCTGGACTCCATGTGAGCTACCATTCGAGCTGATCGAGTATCCCAGACGTCCGCGACTGTGGCCCCAGGATCCATCCGGGTAGACACCCTCGTTGAGATCTTACGCAGTATGTTGAAACTCCTACTACTACATTAACGCAGGTCCCTGATTGACGTGTTTGCTATGCAGCGTCGGAGGATCCGCAGACCTTTCACCAGGCTTGTTTGCTCATGGCCACTCTGGCCCGTATTGCTCCTGATGCTGTTCTTCACAACGTCATGCCGATATTCACGTTTATGGGCTCAATTGTGTTCCACCGCGACGATACCTATAGTTTCCGCGTCGTGCAAAAGGTTCGTATGCTGAATCTGCATCAGTTGGACGAATCAATTGACCCAATCGTTAACCTAGACGATCGAAAGTATCGTCCCAGTCATGGTGTCGTCGCTCAGGGCACAACACGGATCCGGAACGAGCTTATATCTAGCTGCCAGGGAGTTCCTGCGTATTTTCACCAACGCTGCGAATCATGTACCTCGCCACCGCCGTGTCAACTTTTTCTCTCATCTGGTCGATACTCTTGGACCTGCTGACTTCCTCTCACCTTCAACGATGCTTCTTGTCGACCGAGTCTCGACCCGAGTTGTACGGCAAAACACTACGGAGTCAAGCGGATCGCTGTATCTCCCTCTTGCAGTCCACGAGAAATACTCCGCCGAGTTACAATTAGCCGTATGTTGTTAAATATGCGTTTCAGTGCCAAAAACAAACTAATCGGGTCCGCGTGCAGTCACTTGTGCAACTGGCGAACGAAGTTCACAGGCTAGTGCTCAACGAGGATCCTACAGTGCACCCTTTGCTCGAGGACACTTCGTGAGCCTCGTATCAATCCGAATCAAGGCGCCCTTGTACTGACGCATTTGCAGGGACGACGAGCAAGCTCATGCCGACCAGGCCGCGAACAGACGAGCCACTGCCTTGCTAATCTTCTGTGACCATGCGCTGGGACGCCTTCGGAAAACCTCCCTTAGACACTCCGAGAAGGAGCGGAAAACCGGTCAGGAGCTTCTGTCATTGTTGCTGAACGCCTCCACTGCCAAGCCGGAAGATGCTGCCTACGTCGAAATCGCTTCAGCCGCCCGTTCTGCGATGGCAAGTACGCTCGGTGTGATGTCGGCGCCTGATTTCATTGCTGGTGTTCTCACCGTACTCGAGTCTGGATCTGTCTACGTGGGTATCTGTGCCTCTCATTCGGTGCTCATTTCGCTGATCAACTTGGAACAGGCTCAAACTGGCGCTTTCGAGCTGCTGGGAGAGCGATTGAACGAAGTAGCAGAGGAAGCGCGTCGTGCCCTTACCCCATCTATCATACAAATCGTGGATACCATTCGACACATCTTATCCACTACCGAAGAAGTATCTCTCATTCGATCGGCACTGCGTGCCCTCGGCACTATCAGCAACACGCTTGCTTCTGGAGAGGAGGGTTGCATCTCCACCAATGTTCCATTCGTCCTTGGATGTCTCTCGCGCCAGGAAAGCCGTATCAGTGCATTGCAGACACTGCTCGCCTTCTCGTAGGTTGTTCTCAATCAGCCGTAACAGATGCACTTATTTTGTTACGTAGCTCGAAGTTAGGTCCCCGCGCTATTCCTCATCTTAAGGACATAGTGACAGAGTGTGTACGGCGTTCCCGAGAAGCAATCTCTAGCAGACATGGTAGGCGGTATATACCCCAGTTGGGTTGATTACAAGTCGCTGATGCATACTCGCACAGACCCTGCGCTTATCTCGCTGGCGTCGAATGTTCTTCGCAACCTCCTGACATCGATCCCTACATTTTGGGGTGAATCTGAAGTCCTTCAAGTCATCGAGCTCTTCCTAGATGGCTCCCAATCACCTACAACAGTGGACGCCTCTGAGATGTCCTTGTTGGTTAAGACCGCTGCGAAGCGGACATCTCCAAACATCTTGCTACCTGCTCTGTGCAACATGTGGACACGGACATTGTCTGAAACAGCCAAGGTAGTTGCTCCATAAATCGCCCTTCTTCAAGCCGTACTCATGCATTGATCTTTCGCAGGACCAGACCACAAAAGTGCTCGCATATATTCAGGTTGTCAAGCTGTCCATTAAGGCAGCCTCCCGACCAGCAGTCTTGGAGAATCTCCGTGAATTGTTCAAGACGTTCCTATCGATGTTTAACTTCTCTGTCACCTCTGGGCATTCTGAGGTAAGCCATCGACTCTAGCCCATGCTAAACGCACACAATTAACCTTTGTCAGATCGAGGGCCCCTTGACGAACGCTTTTGTTGAGATGGTTGTCAAGTTGAATGAGACAGCTTTCCGTCCCATATTTCGGAAAATGTTCGACTGGGCCTTCGCAGATCGTGAGTAGGGAAGTTACTGTCCCACAAAGCAAGCACTCATCTAATTGCCCCCAGCTTCAACTCAAGCTGACAACCGCAAGGTCGTATTCTGCCACGTGTACTTGACACTTCTCGACTACTTCAAGGTGCGTATATGCCCATGTGCCATCGTGCTTGTGCGGAGCATAACCAACGTGTTCGAAAGGCCTTAATGGTATCCTACATGTCCTTCGCGTGGCAAATCTTCCTGGAGCACCTGCGTGCCTTCGCATCTAACGGCGTCGACGATGGGGAAGTCTGGCTCTCCGTTTTGCAGACCGTGTCCAAGTCAATGGCGGTCGACGAAGACAGAGGTGTGTTCAGGATCAGGATCACACCTGCAACATCACCTCACGCTACGTCTCTCTAGTGTTCTGGCGTAGTGACAAGCTACGGCAATTGCAGCCCCTTGTCGTCCAGCAGGTTCCTCTCGCTGTTTGCGTGAATGTTGCAGACCGGAAGACTGCTGTCTCTGATTGTCTCATCGCGTTGTTATCTCTCATCGACGACGATATCATGTCGAAGTCTCTCAATCTCGACGTCCTCATGCATAGCAGGTCGGAGGATGCACGAGTGCGATTGTTCAGTCTTTCTTGCGCGGAGTCGTTATGGCGCGCCCATGGAGACAAACTGTTAGGTATGCGACGTTAACTACATCCTCTCATACATCGCGTTGACTGACAACGTTTGTGTACAGGTTTCGTTGCAGAGACTGCTACCTTCATCGCGGAAGCAGCTGAGGATGAGAACGATCGTGTGGTTCAGGAGGCACACCGGCTCAAAGCAGCTGTAGAAGCCGTTGGGGGCAGCATCGACGCTTCGTAACAAACGTCGCGCCCTAGAATTTTCTGTTATCACCCCTTGATCATTACCTGTCATGCTTACCTAGGCCTTCTATGTCGCCGTATGCGCCTTGTTCTCATTCAAACTACCCGAACATGTCAACGCATCGAAACTGAGGGGTGACAGAAGGAAGATGCTCTGTCAATGGAGGGTCAAGGCTTAGGCTTTACAAACTGGTCCCGCGGTTGGGTGGAGCATGGTCAGTTGCGCTCTGTTTTGGAATCCTCCCTCAGCTAGTCGATGACGCCGCCATCGTACTCGCTACAAGCAGCTCGCAACTGGCAAGAGTAGCGCGAGTGGCAGTACACATGTCGTGTCGGACCTTGTGCACCAGACGACCATGAATGTTAACCGGCCAATAGAGCCGCTGCACAAACCGAGTAACGCTTGTCGAAGCTCTCGTATACGTTTCCAGTCGCAGCTATATATATATACTGGCCTATGCCGTCCTTTGTAGACTACACCATGCAAGCGTGCCTCAGGCGAATCCTTGTCTACGGCCGCAACAGTTGCGCCACTGTCAGGACGGTTGTGAGTTCCACGCACGCAACGACTGTGCATGGTTCAGAAAAGTCGTATATCCGCCCATAGCAGTCGGAGGCGCTGAAGACGGCTGGCGTGGGCAGGAGACTGCACTGCAGCCGGAGGAGAGTAATGTAGAGTACACATGGGTATCATACCTACGTCTCGGTCAGCGAGGGCCGCTACGCAGGAGCGGGAGTCCACATCGACGGGCCATAAATGAGAGTCCACTGTCGCCACGACGGCGACGAAAAACGAGACGGTCCACAATAGGCATCTAAGACGTGAACGAGTTAAAGGGGGGGGGGAAGGGGCGGCTGTGGATAAATAGTCAACTCGCAGCCAAGGGAAAGTCAAGCACGCCCAAATCCCTCCCCCCCCTCCTCCGCAAATCACTCCCTGTGAGTGCAACCAAGGCGAAACAGGCGCACCTAGAAGCCCTCGTCGAGCGCAATGCGAAGCAATGGAAGGCCTCCAAACGCGGTCGCAAACTGCATCTCATCGATCAATCACTCCCCTCCCCGCCTATATGAAGAAGATTCGAGCCCTGTCTCGGAGACAGGCTGCGACGCTCTTCCAACTCCGTACCGGACACGCTCCCCTTAACGACCACCTATACCGAATCGCGCGGGTCGACTCGAAGCGCTGTCCAGCATGCGACCTAGCTCCGGAGACGGTGATACACTTCCTACTAC